TTACTCCTCCGAAACGGCTTAACCGATTTTAATGAAACTTTATAATAATATGTATAATCAGTGGGTCTGAGACTAGGTTGTTATCGATTTTTATAACCCCTAAGTGATAAGGGGTTTACCCCAATTTTTTTTCATAATTCACCCCAATTTTTTTTATTTTTTGGACAAAACTTTTTATTTTAATTTTTATATGATTTGGCAGTAAAAAATACATATAACCCTAAATTTTCACCCTTTTACCATCAACCTCTATTTTTTTAAAGCGATATTAGTAATTCAATAGTTTTAATTTAACAACAAATTGTTTTTAAAAATTGTTAGAATACCTTAAATTAAAAACGTGGGTATGATTGGGTATACCGGGTGCGTCTCAAAAGTGGCTCAGCCCTATAACTTTTTTATTTTTTCAGATAAAAAACGACATGTAGTATATGACATAAATTAGGATTGATTGATATATTCAATTATTTTCGATCTCTTCCGGTTTCACCGGAAATGAATACAACTTTTGATTTTTAAATGACACCCTCGGTATTTTTTACTGTATTCGGTAGAAAATGACACTCTGAATAGAATGACATATCATATGCCAACTTTTGACATTTTCGCATATGGTTTATTCGAAATTATAACATGCGGTTCATAATGACAATTTGACTCAAAATATCAAGTGTGTAGTACCAAATTATTCGTAAAAAATGCTTTTTCGAAATATGCTAATGAGCCACCCTCGTTCCATTTAAAAAGAAATGGGATATGAATAAAAATACGATTTGGGCATCTTTGAACCGACCAGGACAAGACACTAAAAACATTAGACGATCAAATCTGTTTTTTCAAGGCTCTTTGATTAAAAATTAGTGTTTTTAACCAGGGCCTATTTTACCATAAGACCCATAAGGCCCGGGCCTTGGGCCCGGTGGTCTGGGGGGCCCGTTAAAGGTTGTAAAATATTCATAATTTCAAATGTAAATTTACATAGCAGAGAAAAAAAAAACAGTTACCTCTGATAAGGGAAATAGAATTAAATAAAATAAGCTTTAGATTGATATAATTAATGTATTTTTTAAAATTAATTATTTTTATTTTTTTATTAAAACAATTATTTTTTTATTGTTTTATTTTTTTAACCCAAACTAACAAGAGAATTTTTGAATTTTATTGGATAAGAGGGCCCGAATTTTTGCTTGGGCCTTAGTGCCCGACAAGATGAAAAATAGGCCCTGTTTTTAACACAGCCATGGCACTCTAGATTGAAATTTAAAATACAATTTTGTTTTTAGCGAAAAAACATATATGTCATTCGATTCAGAGTGTCATTTTCTACCGAATAAAGTAAAAAAAAACCGTCCGTGCCATTTAAAAATCAAAAGTTGTAGTCATTTCCGGTGAAACAGGAAGTGACCAAAAACAATTGAATACGTCACTCAATCCTAATTTATGTCATATACGAACATACCAAATCTCGTTTTTTTATCTGAAAAAATAAAAAAGTTATATGGGTGAGCCACTTTATAGGGTGTTTACCTAAATTCAGTATACTATTTATTGGCAGTTTGGGTATATATCGGGTGCAAAAACTTGACTATATACCCAAATTTGAATATACCGGGTACTTGCCCATTACTGACCTTAGCCATATAAGGATTGATTGGCATATTCAATTGATTATTGATTATTCAGTTCAATTTTTTTGCTTTACTGCGCAGAAAATAACACTTTTTAGTTGAATAGTTGAGTTTTTTACATAAAATTTAAAATACGATATGTTATAAAATGATATGTTTTCTATCAAATAAAATAAAACAATACCGATGATGCCATTTAAAAATCAAAAGTTCCGGTGAAACAGGAAGTAACCGAAAACAATTGAATACGTCAATCCATCCCTTTGAATAAGAAGAGTAAGGAAGGAGCATATCAAAAATCTTAGGTCCACCGCGATGGGCCTCAAATATGGCCGACTTAAATTCCGGTTTATCAGTGCCGTTCTCAGTGCGTTTATCAGTGCAATAATTCTCTTGTTTATAATACATTTGCTAAAGCCGGCTAAAGCCAATTAAACAATTACTACTGCCGAGAAACAGTCCCATTACACACTGAAAAAACATCTTCAGATAATCTACATCTATTATTATAGTACTTAGTACTATATGGGTTAAAAGTATTATGTAATATCACCGGTAACATTTTTAGGAAAATCTGTAACTATTATCTCTACCAATTATACTTATTACAACAAATTAAACCAAAATTCAAATTTTGTTCTTAACTCGCTTAACAGACATGAAATTTTAATAATCCTTACTTTTTGTCATGGCAACTATGATGTTATAGCGTAAATGTATGAAAAATATGCATAAAAATAGAAAAAAATGGAACTATTAAAAATAGGTATATGTCATACTTAATAAAAGTTGAAGAGTTTTGTAAAATCTATCAGAAAAAATGATAATATATAGGGTGTCCCATTTAAAAAAAATATTTTTTTTAATTTTAAGTAGTTGAAATTCATAAATATATTTTGAACACCCTGTAGCATCTAACTAAAATATCTTTACATAGTCTTTTTCTATATCTCTATAAAATTCTCCTACCAAATTTTAGTTCTCCAACTTCACAAACAATGCCATTACTGACAATTTTTTATCACATTGCAGTCTAACATTTGTTTAAACAAATTTAAATATTACAAAAATTATTAATTTTAGGTATATGACATTATACATAAAAAAGTTATAGAATTTTACGCCGAATCCAAAAATAAAATAAAAAATAGGGTGTTGCATTTAAAAAAACATGTTATATACGCCACACTTTTTTGACGCACCCTGTATACTCTATAATAATTTTAAAATGTGTATCCTAACCATCCCTATAACTTTTATATTTAATATTTTTTTGTAAACCTCGAAACAAACAGGGGCGTAGATAGGTGTATGCTATGGGGGTGGTACTATGATTAAGTTGCAAAAAAAATCACCCTCGGAATTTTTTTGTCGAACTAAAACGACGGCGATTTTTCTGTCTTCAAAAAGATATAAAAACATAACACAAAAATTAAAATATAGATTTATAAATAACAGAAACAAAAATGAAACAACGACGTTTATTAGTTAATTTTCTATAAACTATAAATAAAAAACTCTAAACTATCAAAAAAACTATAAAAACTATAAACTATAAATAAAACTACAAAACAAAATCAAGTTTTCTAGTACGCTGTTTGGAAAACCTATCAATAACAGCATCAAAATTTATTTCAATATCTTTATGGATATTAATTATAGTTAACCCCACTAATCTGTCCTGGCCAATAAGAGCACTTTGTATAGTATAATAGTCATTGACTATGAAAGGATTTTTTAATTAATAGACGATATTAGAACACTTGTATGCTTTTAATTATGTTGATTTATCGTTTATAATATGTTCGACCTAATTAAAAGCATACAAAGTGTTCTTATATGTCGGATATTAATTAAAAAGTCCTTTTTAGTCAATGACTATTTCAATTCTCGTATCTCGTCAAACGTCAGGGGGGGATACTGTCCCCAGTATGCCCCCTTATCTACGCCCTTGGAAACAAATGAGATAATGGACTCCGTAAAGACTGACAAATCCATAAAATTTCAAATCAAATCCAAATGTGTCAAATGAATCGTCAAACAGAACTGTCAAGGGTCCCCACCCTAGAGTGCTTTTTCCGCCCACCATGCATGAATACATGGATAGCATTATGCTCGTTCCTTAGTCTTCTTATTCAAAGATCTATCCTAATTTATGTCATATAACTAATATACTAAATCTCGTTTTTATCTGAAAAAATAAAAAAGTTATAGAGGTGACCTACTTTTGAGAAACATTTGGTATATAATCGAGAAACCCCATAAAACACACGAAAATGGGACACCCTGCACTTCATATACAGCGGCTATGTGAGAGCGTTTTTTCCACAGTCTCTTTCTAGAGAAAATAATTTATGAGATTATCAATAAGTTCTAAGTTCACTGTCAAATATAACATTTTTATTTACTTTCCCTATATTTTTATGCGTTTAATAATAATTAAACAATTTTGGCCTCGTTGCCTTAAAATTAACGAAAAATAAATATAGTTGAATATATTCGCCATAATGTCAAGAATTTCGTATTATCAAAAAAATAATTTTCGTTCGTGTTGGTTTGGAAATGACAATAGATGACACTCAAACTAATGACAAATTAAACTGTATAATTTTATAAGTGAAATGACAGCAATTTCCATTATCAAACGAAATTCTGGCGACGATTTTATTCAAATGTATTGTTCTCATAAATTTTAAAATTGCCTTCACCAAATAATCAAGATGCTAATATATTATGGAAAGGATAGAAAATATTAATATTTATTTTATAGTTTAATAGCGTTATAATAATGTTTTATGTAAAAATTAAGTTTTATATTTATTTATTTTTTTCCTTTTTTTAATCAGTTTTCTTTTGAGTTTTAATTTTTATTATTCAATAACCTTAGCCATTATTTATATAGTTTAATTATAGCATTCTAAAACTAAAAAAATACCTTTATAGATAATATTTTAAAATTTAATATCCGGATTTGTTTGTACTTTGTACTAAAAACATTAAACTAAAGAGTAAAGATCTAGGATTCTTATCTACAATAATTAGTGGCGATAAACCCATAAATATAAACCATAATAATTCTCGACAAAAATCTAAGGTAGCGCATTTATTTTACTTACTCATGTTTATGAAATAAAAATTTAGGTATAAACATATAGATATTAAATTATTTTATTTCTAGTGTATAAATTATATTATTACCCTTTGACTTTATTGTTCTTCGGTCTCGACAAGAATAGTTCAAGGTTATGTAGCGCATCTATTTTATTTGAAAGTATACATATATACAAATATACACATTGCTTTTGTTTTCCTCAAAATGTAATACTGCTCCCGAGATATTTTCTCATGCATTATTAAATTCCAAATCAGTATCGCACACGGATGTGTAGGTGATAGAGTGTTTACAGTAAAATATCTAAATTTCGTCCTAAAAATTTAACTTAACACTACGTCATCATAAGTAATTTATATTTTTTAATATACAGATATTAGAATTTATTATTATATATTTGTTTATAATGTTTAGTACTATTTAGATGTAAGGATACATAGGCAAAAATACAAAATGAAGAGTTTTTCGTCTGATTTTAGTTACAGTTTGATAATACGCCGACGCAACATACACTTTTTTGTAAGAATTATTACAGAGAAGAGAACAGTGAAGTTGTGTTCTTTTAAACTTTTCAGGGAACTATAGTTTGGGATGTAAAATGTTACAGGTAAGTCAGGATGCTTTTTAGCCATTAATCATAGTATATATTTTAATTTATATTTCTAAATATGCTAATATTTGTTCACTTTAATTAATATTATTGTTTTTCAATATTAAAATAATAGTGCAATTTGCTTTTTTTTTACTAATGACCGTAAACGAATAATGAAATGAGCGATGTTATATTGATAAACAATTTTTTTGTCATTTGTTTTCAATAATATTTCTTAATAAATTTATGTTTAGATTTGCTTGAATTAATTGCTTATTACAAATGGTTTATATATTTTTTCAAAAATTAAAAAAGAACTTTTTAGAAATTATCCAATTTGATAATATAGTAATTATTTAAAACAGTATTTAAAGATATTTTATCTCAGCATAATATTTAGTTTTAAAAATACCATTTTTTTACTTTAAATATATAATAGAATAAAACAATTTCTTTAATTACGTTACAATACATATTAAAAATTACCCTCAGGAGGTTAAATCTAGAGTTAGTTTCAAATAGTAAATAAATACTGTTTTAAAATATGTACTTGAAATATGCTGTTATGTTAAAAACACATCAGAGTTGCTTAAAAGTCAAAAGAAAACTTGTTTTCTATAACTAATAGTTCAGATAAAAAATATAATTATTTAAGATTAATATAAATTAATATATTATAATAATATAATTATTTTATTTCTCAGCATTCATGCATTAATATTTGTCAGCATTCATGGGACACAGGGCACAGAATAAATTTTAACAACGCCAAAATTATAATGAAGGAAGCCATAGCATCTAAAAAAAATAAAAGAGGCTTTTTTAATATAATCTAATAAAAATACATGTATTATTCATACATCTGCAGATGTTACTAATGCATGGCAATTGCTTCTTTGATTTTAAAGAACATAAAACGTACTAAAAATTAAAAACAAATTAAAATTAATCATACAGAAAGTTTGAGGCTTTTCGGTTTTACCTTATTAAGTAATTGTTATCAGATAGTAATTGTGAATTTTGAAGTTTAATTTGGATATAATGTCATTGTATATTGGTCATGTGATTAATGCAGTGGCAAAATAGCCATATAGGATTTTTTTGAAGATAATTATTTATTAATAAGAAACTATTTTATTTCTATAATTATATTTTTATTAGTTATTAGTCCTATATAAAATGTCATGAAATTTAAAATTTTAATTAACTTTATATTTAGTCTTAAATTTACCTTCACCATTTTGTCGATAATTATCTTCAAAATAAGGCAATTATATTTTAATTTTACTTTTTATATAATATAATATAATCTTTGGAAATATTTCCAATAATTTTTATATTTATGATTACGAAAACCTGTAATATACTAAGGGCTGACAAAGATTAGCCTTGGGTCGAGATTTCCGTATGTAAGAAGAGTACAATGGCGTTTATAATGTACTGAACAAAGAGAGGACAGTAAACACGTTGCCAAACGTATGAAATAAACCGAGAAACTGTGCACATCGCTAAGAGACGTGGAAGGGGATATAGCAGATTTGTCGCAGTTGATCGGTCGACCCAATCAATACCTCTGTCAGTACTTAAAGTTCTAGGGAAAGGTGTACGTCATGCGTTAATCTTCACGATTTAATTACGTCTCGTGATACTTGATTTGTTTATTTATTAACGAGTTGTTGTAATTTTCCCTATAGCTTAATTTTTTTTAAGTGCAAGTTAGAAACACTTCATTTTTGGTAAAAATAAGTGGAATTGAGTGGGCGTTCGATAGTGGTCGCGCTATTAGAACTCAAAAATTGAATTCAAAAATCGATATGTCGAAATCTATTAGAAATCATAGATTGTAGTTTTTTCAAGAACTTTGTTAGTATTTCTGCTGTATTTTCTTTGTAGACAGTATGCGAAAATCTTTATCAATAAAAAAATTACACGATTGCTGAAAATTGCTATACTCTAAAAGTAAATGGATGGATTGTTTACAATTTTTGAATAGAAAAAACAACCTTATCGAATTTTTCTTATGTAAACATAATGTAAAATATCCGATCTTAAAAAATAAAAAAAGTTTCAATATCTAAAGTGGTTCTTGAGTTAGTAGGCCTGTTATGTGTTAAAAAGTTGACTTTTTAAATTATCGCGATTACTGACGTTTTCTCGTTATAAAAAAATGACACCCTAACGATATCCTTATAATTCCGTTTCAGATGCTCAGAAACATGTCTAATGATTTGATCTAGTTATCTCTTGAAAAAAAAGTCTTTTAAAAATAAGCGGTTTGCGATCGGGATTTTACTTTACTAGATAGGGAAAGGCGTATCGGCAACGCCGCAACAGCACACCGTCGCGCGTCGCTTCGGTCAGTCGCATTCCTCTCACTCCGACTTAATAAGATCCCTATGCGATTTACTTCCACACATGTAAATGCCGACCCAAAAGTAACAGTTGCCAGCACGGTATATGAATACCATATGCCATACATAGTATGCATTATTATAACATCTCGAAATATATAGCGACACACAATGGAAAATATTTTCCAAGATTTATGTGAAGCTCTCTTATTCTCTAAGCTGCAATTACACTGATGCAATGTCGCTCATTACAATGAAAATCCCCAACGAGATGTTTTGAATTAGCTCAGTTCATAATGGTAGAGCAGGAACAAGACAATGCCTTAAGCTATGTTTTGAAGAAGGTTACTATTGTATCTTATAGCTTTAAATGTATGAACTATTTATACGAATTGTAGTAAAACGTTTAAATTTTTAATTTGTTATAAGATTTTCTATTTTCTTCTTTAACAATCTTTTTTCAATAGCTTATAGGTATTTTAACATCCATTTATTGATATAGATTTTGAGTATTTACCTCAAAAAAATTATTGTTACATTGTAGTTAATTCATCTGATTATAAATGTTTATTTATTCATCCACTTTGTGGCTGGCTATACTCTAATGCTTTCCAAAATAAACATAATTGTTTAGATAATTTAATTGGCCTCTTTCTGTGTATTGCCTAATATACAGGCCATACAGGGTGTAAATGTATACGTGCGATATGAAGCCGAAGACTTTTGGTATAAATATTTCTATGTGATTTGATTTAATTTTTAATCCCTATAAAGATATCTCTCAATATATTCTCTCAATTCCTACAAAAATGTTTTCCCCATCGTGCGGTATAGTTTTGGGATTACTGTTACAGAATTTTTCTCTTTGTTTCGTAGAAAAATGTGTAGGAATGCGGAACTTTCTATATTAACGTTATTTCAATATTAATCGGTGGATAAAATAATTATTTAAGATTAAGAGCGGCTGTAGCAACATCCTGTATAGAGCAAATTCAAATAAGCATTCTACTCAAAAACCTAACTTGATTTTAAAAAACAGCAACTTTTTGCTACTAGTCTTGTTAGAATATTTAATTGTTCAACCTGATGCAAATTTTATTAGTTTATTAGTGGAACTCTTGTTTATAAATCTTTACCTTTCACATATAAACGTAAAGTAAAATATTGCTAGCGTCCAGTACATAAACTTTACATAGTGTATGTAATTTCGAAATAAACTGTTTTAAAGATAAAGGAGGATAGAATAGAGTAAAGCGTTTCTTAAGTAAGATAAAATATTTTATTGTAAAAATGGAACCAAGAACTCCAAGAACTCATTTTTTGGAAAGTAGTACTATTGTTTGTGACAAAACTTAACGCTTAAACAATATTTTTTAATAGTTATATTGTAGAAGTAATAAAGGGTTTGGCACATTTTTTCGAGATTGGGCTTTGAACGATAACAGTTAAAGAAATTCTAATTAATATACCAGCAGTTTCCCGACATAATAATAGGGAGTATGTCATTTTTATTTTGAAATAATTTTTCTTCAGATTCAGATCTTGGTCTATAAAGAGAAACTTAAATATTTGTCGATAGTTTAATAACAGCCTGATCAGTAAAATGTTGCCGCATATTAAACATGTTTGCTTCTAAAATATATAGGATCTGTAAAAGCTCCAACTCGCTATAGCAGTCGCAACATGAAATAGCAGAATCAATAGAAGATCTTAGAACTCTCTTTATATTAAAGTTGTCGTTTTTAAACCAAATGCTGTATATTTTTTCGCTCAGTGGAGTTAAGATAAAATATTATAATCCACACCAAGAGCCCCCAAGGGGAAACATAGTTCCGAAATATTACTATTTTTATATTAATTTTTTACATTTTTAAAGCTCTCGTAAAATTGTGAAATCTCAAAATATTGATTTAGTATTTTATAATAGCTTTTAAATTTAATCATGCCAAAATACGCTATACGGTTTTGTCTATACAGGACGAGTCAAGAATTTTTTAGAACACTCCGTATTGTATGCCATAAAGAAACGCAGTTTTTATCTATCTTTATGTTTTGACAAACAAATTATGATACAATATATAAGTACAGATTATTACAGAAGAGTTTATAACATTATTATTATTTTGATAATTTTTCTTTTATTTTTACAACTTCGAGAGAAAGAGCTTTAAATATGCTTATAGAAAATTTAGTCTGAAAATAGTCATATTTGAAAGAATACCTGGAAATCATAGATTATGAAATTATGATAATATTGGAATAAGAATTATACAGGAGAAAAAAATTCAAAAAATTCCAAATTTTTAAAAAAAAATGCGAAAAGAACCTCATAGACGTGTTTCTGGGATCGAAATATACTAACCCGCTTTGGACTTATTTAAGACTCACCCTGTATAGCAAATCCTTTAAACAAAAAATAAACGTCATATTTAAAAAACTACGACTTTAATTTAAAATTAAAAAATACTGGAATGAAACTTTCAAACGGGAGACCTGATATACAGGGTGTTTCAAAAAACATGTGCCATCTTTCGTGGGGGGATTCCTCACGTAACTATTTATTTTTCATATCAACATAGGTCGGATTTTGGTTTGTTTCGTAGCTATAGGGTGTTCAAATCTTAATATTTTTTCGATTTATTATAATTTTGTTTCAAGTGCTTT